AGGGCGGATCAAGGGGGGTTGGGGGCGCCGCCACTATCACACTCAGGGCAGGGCCGATGGGGAGTGTTATGGCTCTACCCCATCACACACAGAGCAGGGCCTGTGGGGGTGGGGGGGTTGGGATGCCGCACCCTGTCACACACAGAGCCGCAGGGCGATCAGGGGATTTGGGCGCTGCCCCCTGTCACGCTGATCCGGTGCCAGGAGGCCTCGCGGCTCCACTGATCCCGGTGCTGGGAGGTATATTACCCTTTTACTATATAGGATAGAGGCCTGGGGGCCGGCTGGTTTGCCCTGAATTGTGTCCTGGATCAGGGTGGGGGTCCCCACTGGGGTGCCTGGCCAGCCTGGATGAGGGGATGATGGCTGTTTGCAGCTGGTCACACACCCTTCAGGGTGGGGGTCCCCACTGGGGTGCCTGGCCAGTCTGGGTGAGGAGCTGAGGGCTGCTTTCAGGCTGGCAATTGACTGAAGCTCCCAACCACTCCTTTTTTTCTTTTTCTTTTTTTTTTTTTAATTCTGGGCCAGCTTTAGCTCTGGCTCTAGCTCTGAGGCTTCCGCTGCTATAATCGAAACAATGTATAACTCTAGCTCTGAGATCCCGGCTGGCTGAAAGCTGGTCTCTGGGGTTTTGTTTAGCTTCTATTTTTGCAACATAGTTTCTTAGAGTTGTAGCTCAGAGGCCGGCAAGTCAGGCGGGGAACGTTGGAGTCTGCAGTCACTGGAGCAAGCAAGCCTCATGTTCGCTTCCAGCTGCCTGGCTGCGGGCCACCATCTTGGCTGACAGTTAATTTGCATAAGGATATGCTGATTAGCCAATGGGAAGGGTAGCGGTCGTATGCTAATTACCATGTTTCTCTTTTATTAGTGTAGATATATATATATATATATATATATATATATATATATATATATATATAAAATGTCTTTTATAGAACCAAAGATATTTAGCACTGTAAAATACCTCAGACATTATTAACTCCCATTCCTTGTTTTAGTGAAGTCCAGACAGGTTAGGAGACTTTGCTCATAGTCACACAGCAATTCCTGTGAGAAACAGCAGAGAATCCACATTGTTTGATTTCTCTGTTTAGTGCTTTTTCTGCTTTCTCATGCTGCTGATAAGTATTCTAAAAGAAAC